TTTCCTCTTAGAAATTTTGGAAAGATTAAAGATAATGTTTGAATATAATGAAAATTGCAGGAGCTAAAAGCCCCTATTTAACAAGAATTCATTAAATACTTTCTAAGGACTAAATTTAACATGTTCATTGCATTAAGTAGTTGTAGTTAAATTACTTCAATTTGTGTTGCTTCTAAAATTTCTGCAAAATTCTAATTATTAAATGTGTTGTGTACCAGATAACTAATGAATGAAGCAAAGCTATATGGATAAAGAATAATTAGATTGTGTTTTGCAAGGTTACTTCTCTCTGTAGTCATTGCTTCTTGGTTAAATCTTTACAAGTAAATCATATATGTCTCAGGAAATATTTTCTTACAGACAGACAAGTAAGCAAATTCTTTTTATTTTCAGGGGAAAATAATGTATGCTTAACTAGCATCAGCTAGGGCTTATTGATGCAAAAATAGTAAAGATTCTCATGGTGTCTCCCCGGTCTCTTTAGATGCAAGAGATGACTTTTTGGAAAAAAACATAGAAAGGAACCAAAGATTTTTCATTTTTGTATATTACACTTTATAACTTATATTTTCTCTTTTCCCTCTAGTCTTTCAACATATTTAACATTCTTTTTCTTAATTATAAAAGTACTATCATTGCATAAAAATTAAGAAAATTATAAAGAAGAAAATAATTTATAATCCTATACTTTTGAAAGTTTTTAAAATTTGCATAATTTAAGTCCCTCTCCCAGGGCTACACACATGTACACACACACACACACACACACATAATTTTGAACATGGAGTTTTGGTTTTAATCTTGGGTTTTTTCTTTTTAGTTTGTGTATATCAAAAATATTTTTATATCATTAGATATTCTTCAAAAACATCATTTTAATGACTGTTTAATATTCTACTATGTGGATGTATTGTAATTTACTTATCTCTTCCAGTATTTCTGAAAATCTAGTTTGTTTTACAAAAGGTGTTTGAAAGCAGCAGTTCTTAATGAGATCCTTGGAGCACATGACTGCTCTAAAATGAAAAGTCATTACATATGGCTACTAGTCCTTTTTATGGAGATATGATCCATAACTTTCTTAAAAATGTTCAAAGCTACACTTATGCAAAATGAGGATGAATCAATTCAGCTACTAAGTCATATCCTATAGATTAAAAGTCTTTTTTTACTCTTTCCAAAGGATTTAGTATAATGATTTCAAAAGTTTGCTAGTATCCTAATATGTACTATATAGGAAAAAAACACTCCACTTGTGTTCTCCTTTACTCTCACACTACTATCACACCTTGATGTATGGATTTGCCACTCATCAAGCAATTCTTAGCAGCACCAGCTAGGTGTCCTACAATTCAACTTAATTCTAATATGAACTGGAGTTAGTGCAGACTCCACAAGTTAAGGTTCAGTCTCACAAGACTGCCTCCTACTTCAGATGCCTATCCAAAACAGTAGATCCTCAGGAGACCCACAACTTTTGTCTGTCTAACTTGCCTGTGAATCAGAAGTTCCTACAATGCCCCTTCTTGAATTCAGTCACTTTCTAGAACAGCCCTCAGAATTCAGGAAAACACTTACTTGCATTTACCAGTTTATTATGCAATAAAGGATGTAATAAAGGATACAGATGAACAGCCAGATGAACAGATACTTAAAGTAAGAGTGTTGAGCATCCCAGTTCAAAAGCTTCTGTTTCCGTAGAGTTCAGGTGCATCATCCTCCTGGTAGGTGGATGTGTTCACCAACCTGGAAGCTCTCCAAACCTCATATTTTAGAGATTTTTATGGAGGGTTCGTCACATAGGCACAATCGATTATTAACTCCATTTTCAGCTATTTTCCCTCTTCAGAGAGTGAGGTGGAGAAATGAAGGTTTAAAGCTTCTAATTATGACTTGTTCTTTCTGTAACCAGCACCCATCCTGAAACCCACCAAAGGTCATTAGAACAAAAGATATTCATATTGCCCAGGAAATTCTCTGGGATTTAGGAGCTCAGTATCAGATGTTCCCATTACTCAGGAAATTAGAAAAGTCTTAGGAGCTATATATTAAGAACTGAGGTCAAAGACTAAATGTTAGAACAAAATGTTCTCCTGCCACCCCTATTTACAAGAGATTTTAGGAGCTCTGTGTCAAGAACCAGGACACTAATCCTTTTGGACCAAGGCCTCTCCCTTATGATCTCATTTAACCTTAATTACTTTGTAGTCTCAAGAAAGAAGGCCATAATATTTCTTTCTGATTGTGTGTGTGAGTGTGGATAGGGGTATGTATGACAATTCAAGACTGCCTACATGATATGAGTCACTACAGTCAACATACATTTTCAAGAGCTTAGTAAATTGCATATCCACAATCCAATCTTTTGTTGTTGCTGTTGGCTTGTACTTTTTTTGTTTATTTATTCATATATTTTACCAAATTTATCAATCATTGCTCTTAAGTAAATAAAACAGCTTTGGGCTCAATATATACTTTTGTTTTTAATTATATGTCAAAAATACACAGTTTAATGGTTTATTCAAATATACTTTTTGCCTCAGCTATGGTTCTGCATTTTAAGATAAAGTCATTCTTAATAGGCTTGTAATATCAGCAGAATATTTTTACATCAAATAATTTATAGTGTGTCTGTTTTTCTTAGACTCTGTTGACTTTTTAAAATGAATTTTCTATAAATTTGTAGTCTTGCCATGTAAACAAAAGTATGAATATTTAAAAAGACACTTTTTCTATATTTTCCAATAGTGTTTATTACTATTTAAATTATTCTATTTACAGTAAAAATATATGTATTTTCTACTATATTATTTAATATTCCCTATATAATACCCCAATTTTTTTTATAACTCAGTACTAGAATTTTTTTAATTCCATTGCATTGATATTCTTCCTCTTTCTGATAATAATAATGATAACAATGATGATGATAATGATAATAGTAATGTTACTAATACTTTCACCTTGAGTCGATAATTTGAGTCATATTTGAAATAGTGAAGCTACCATGTATTTAATGCCTTACATGTATTTCCTCATTTAATCTAGTTAGTTATATATGATTACTAGGTTATTGATGAGAAACTTTAGCTCAAAATGGGTAAGTGACCTGTGTAAGGTCACACAAGATACATGGGGAATTACTGATATTTGACCTAGGCTCTGACTCAATAGTTTTTGCTTAAAATTTTTTATTGCCTATAAGTGAGATCACACAGTATTTATTTTTATTTCTCTGTCTTATTTCTCTTAGCACAGTGCCCTCCAGTTTCATCCATGTTGCCCTCCCTGCCCTTCATTTTCTAGCTTAGGTACTGTATCTTTAAGACATTCTTATGTTTTCTGACCAAATCTGAGAACTGACAACTAGAGACTATTTCTTAAAGTAGATAAAGGAAAATTCAAGACAAATAAAAGGACATTGTTTTTTGCACAGTTCAGCAACAGAGATTAATGATTCAATTCAAATAAAACTTAATTATACAAATTAAATATTTGATCAAATGTTTTTAAAATCAAGAAGAAAAATTAACACAATCCATATTGAAAAGAAGTTAAAGACAAGAAGAGCAACCAATTTTAAAAAACTGAGATAAGTACATAAATTAAATAAATATACATATTTATTGTTATTAATGTTATTATGCATATAAAGTTAAAGGTGCCCAAACCTGGCAGATAAAAAATTTTAAATGGAATTTAGATATTTAAATACATACTATAATTATCTTTCCATAATTGTACTTGCTTTCATAATTTATGGCATAGAAATACTATCATAATTTTTATTCCGTGGTTTATTTAAAGCACTAAATTAAATATGGTTAAATTCTGTATTAGTCTCATAACAAACATGGACTTAAACATAATTGATATGGAAACATGATATTTTACATTCTAACAATGTTGTTCATTAGATGAATATATCATAAAAATGCTTGGAAAAAGTTCAATTGTTTAAGTTGGATAAATTATTTTATAGGAAATTTACGATCATTGACTATCGATAGCTTAAATATTATCTACATGTTTCTATAAATGTTAATTTTAGAGATTTTTAATAACTGCTAAATTGTTATTTTAAATGATTATTTTACTGTACACTCTCTGGAGTTTACAAAATGCATAAATAGAATATATGGTAGCCAAGACATGAAAACAACTGAAATGCCCTTCAATAGATGATTGGCTAAAGAAGATGTGGTACATGTATACATGGAATATTACTCAGCCATAAGAAGAGATGAAATACTGCCATTTGTGAAAACATGATTGGACTTCGACATAATCATGCTAAGCAAAATAAGCCAGACAGAAAAAGTCGAGAACCACATTATTTTAAGATGTAAAACTGAAAGCAAAAACAAACTAGACAAACAAAAACTGATAGACACAGACAACAGTTTAGTGATTAGTAGAGGGAAAGGGGCATAATAGAAAAGGGTAAAGGAGCTCAAATATATGATGACAGAAGATTTGACTTCCGTGGTAAACATAAAATGCCATATATGGATACTGTATTATCAAATTGTACACTTGAAACCTATATAATCTTATTAACTAATTTCACCCCAATAAATTTAATTTTAAAAAGAATAAAACATGTGTATATATATATATTGTTTATGGAAGTTTCTATTACTACGTAAGGTGTTTATATATTTGTGTCACTTTTGTGTACTTGGTAATGTGTGCGAAGTGTTTGTAAACATAAACACTTGAGTCGTATCATTAAAATTACTAGAATACAATGTTTTAGTGCCTATTAAATCAAGTAAAATGAATTACCACGCGTCATAATTAAAAAAAATAGCAACAGCATCGTTATCAGTGTCCTCTGTGAATTTTATGGTATTAGACATGTCATTTAGGAATGACTTTTTTTGATTTAAGCGATTTCTATTGTTTCAGAAAAAATAAAGTACAATAAGTATTTACTTCAGTGTATTTTTTAGAATAAATAACCACCAGTAAAAAATATATTATTTCTTATCCTCTAGGTAATACAGCAAAAGTATATATTGAGATTCAGGATGAAAATGATCATCCTCCAGTGTTTCAGAAAAAATTCTACATTGGAGGTGTATCTGAAGATGCAAGAATGTTTGCTTCTGTGCTAAGAGTTAAGGTATGAGCAAATTTATTAAGATACAAAACTAAAGTAAAAGCGAAGTGCTTAAATTTTGCAGATAAACTATAACCATGTTGTTTGGATTAACTGAGTATTTATTTCTGATTAAACAAAATCTTTAACTTTGAGATATATGAGTTTAATTAGCCAAACTAAATGCAGGTTAATTATGAAGTGAATACTAAGCAAAATTTTTAGTTTTATTTTTACTACAAAAATAAGAACAAATTATTTATGATGTGTTCTACTGAACAAGATATTTAAAAATGTATGTTTTCTTCATAGATTTATATGCTTCTAATAGGTTTTATTCCAGATAACTCCAAAGATTCTCATGATGGAGTTTCTAGTGGCAAATATAAAGTTGCCATTTTCTAATAGAAGAAATAATGCAATAACTTCTAAAATTATTTTTATACAATAATTTTTAAAATTCAAAATGCTAGCTATATGAATGTAAAACAACACTACAAATTGTAGTGCTTTGCTAAAATTTAAAAACTTAGATATGTCAGAAAAAATCTGTTTACAAACAGAATTTAAAAAAAATACAGTCCAATACTAAAGTTGCTAAATTTCCATTTTTTCCAAATTAGTTACTATCAGCTAAGTTTAAGAATTTTTAATGATTCAAGGTATATAAAGTTACAATGGTTTTATTATTAAGGAATAAATTGATAAATATTATTTGCATTTAAGATAAAAGTTTAGAAATTAGAGCATTTTAGATTCTCAGTTACAGTTATTTTCTAAAAGCATTTTAATAACTTTTTTAAAAATAGCTATTAATATATATGCATAAAGCCTATATTTCCCTGAGCAGAACCAGCTATTGATTGCCTATAGTTTTGCACATGAGCATTTGCCTTTCTTTC